ACACACACACGAGAAATAAAAACATATGTCCACACAGGTTTCCATATTAATGTTCTTAGCAGTGTTATCCGTAATAGCCAGAATATGGAAACAGTGTGAGTGTCACTCAACTGGTGAATGGATACACAAAATGTGGCATATTCATTCAGTGTAGGACTACTCAACAATCAAAATGAATGAAGTACACATACATACTACAATATGGATGAACCTTGAAATGTCATGCTATGTGAGAGAATCCAGTCACAAAGTACATATATTTCAAGATTCCATTTATATAAAATTCCCAGAATAGGCCAATTCATAGAGACAGAAAGTATATTACTAGTCGCTTATGACTAGGGGTAGAGGCTCGGGAATATAGAGAAAGATGTCTAATCGTTATGGTGTTTCTTCTTGGAATGAAGAAAATGCACTAACATTTGATTATGATGATGGTTGCACAGTTCTGTGAATATACTAAAAACCATCAACTGTGTGCCTTAAGTGGTTGAATTATATGGTGTATAAATTATATTCCAATAAAGCTATTTAAAAAAGTAGCTAATAGAAAAAAATCACATTACCTGTTAAGAATTGAATTTGAAGTGATAGCCTGACTTCTTAAAAGCAGATGGCTTAGAGAAAAAAAATCTCTTAACCTAGAAAATTACTTTTAATACTCAGCAACAACATTAAAAAAGGAATGACCTTGAGATATTTTTAGACAAAAAAATTGAGCTTGCCACCAAAAAAATCCCACTAAAAGAAATTTAAATGATTCATTTCAGGTAGAAGGAGATTCCAAACAGAATGTCTAAGATGAAGGAATAATAATGAACAAAGATGGGGACAAATGGGGTAAATCTAAACAAACATGGACTGTAAAAAAAAGTAATGATGAGGGGTACGTGAGTGGCTAGGTTGGTTAAGTGTCTGACTTCAGCTTAGGTCATGATCTTATGGTTTGTGGGTTTGAGCCCTATGTCAGGCTCTGTGCTGACAGCTCAAAGCCAGGAGCCTGCTTTGGATACTGTGTCTCCCTCTCTCTGCTCCTCCCCTGCTTGCAGGCTGTCTCTCTTGCTCTCAAAAATAAATAAACATAAAAAATTAAAAAAAGAAAAGTAATTTAAATAGGATAGCACTGGGGCACCTGGGTGGCTCAGTCGGTTAAGTGTCTGACTTCGGCTCAGGTTATGATCTCACGGTTCATGGGTTCGAGCCCCATGTCAGGCTCTGTGCTGACAGCTCAGAGCCTGGAGCCTGCTTCAGATTCTGTGTGTGTGTGTCTCTCTCTCTGACCCTCCCCCTCTCTCTCTCTCTCTCTCAGAAATAAATAAAAACATTAAAAAAATTTAAAAAATAGGATAGCACTAAAATACGTGACAGCAGTAATGTGTATGTCAAGGGGATGGTGGCTAAACTGAAAATGTCATAGGATCCTTATATTTTTCTGAAAGAAGGTAAGCATAGATTGACTTTAGACTTAACTAAGTTAAAAATGTAAGTGAGTTATACTTTCTGGGTAATAACCTGAAATAAAATAAATATAAATAAACGTATAAGTTTTAAATGAGTAGAGACAAAAAAAAAAAAAATAGCATAGGAAAACCATCATTCAAAAGGCAAGAAGGAAAAAGAGAGAAAAATATAAATGGCACTGTATTTGGAAAACACAAGGTAGTATGATTGAAATAAATCACATGTATCTGTAATGATAATAAATGCTCCATTTCATTTTATCAGACAGGTTAAGAGAATCTGGATATATGTTATTTACAGGAGACATCTACAAGATAAAGTTAGTGATACCGTGAAAGTTAAAAAAGACACACCAGCCAAATATTAACCATGAGAAAGGTGTATAAGACTTTAAGGCAAAGAAACCATCTTTGATCTAATAATTATAGACTTGGACTCAACAAATTTTGGATACATATTCTATTCTAGCACACACTATACAAAATATATTTATGATAACTGACCATGAAGCAAGATACATTAATTTCAAATGATTAGTATCAAACAGACCTTGTGCTCTACTCACAAAACAAGAAAAATCACAAAGATAACTAGGAAACATACATGTATTTGTTGAGTAAGAAGCATACTTAAAATTATTTGTGAGTTGAAGAATAAATAATAATGGAGATCAGAAAATATTTAGGACTGATGTCAGTATTACATTTCAAACTAGTGGGATCAAGCTAAAATGATACTGACAGGGAAATTTATAGCCTTAAGACATTTTTATGGAAAGAAAAATGTGAAGATTAGATAAGTATTCAACCTAAAAAGTTAGGAAAAGAAAATAGAATAAATCCAAAGAAAGAAGTAGGAAGGAAATAATTAAAAAATAAAGGAAAAAATTAATGAAATAGAAAATAAGAATGCTAGATGACCAACACAGCCAAAATTGGCTCTTTGAAGAGATTATTTAACATGACATGTCTCTGCTGAGACTCACCAAGAAAAAGGGAATAAAATTAAAGAATATTAAGAATGAAGAAGACAGTCACAGATGCCATACATATCAAAAGATAAGTGGTTTTATAAAAAATTTCCTGCTAAGTAAAGGTGAGTATTTAGATAAAATGAAAACTTCTTAGGAGAAAAAAGTTAACAAAATTGTCTCAAATAATTAGAAACATGAATATTCCTATAACCATTAATGATAGATAAAATAAGAGATGACTCTCTTTGGAGAAAGAAAATGGCAGTGTTAGATAATTTTATTGGTGATCTAATGAACACTAATGGGAAAAGATTTTAATTTTACACGAACCATTTCAGAAGATATTAAAAAAAGGAACACTCTAAATTGGTACTAAAACCTGACAAGGACAGCACAAAATGGGAAAATTACAAACCAGTCTTATCCATAAACATAGATGAAAGATCCTGACAAAACAGCAAGCTGAATCCAGTAACATATAAAAAATATAGTACATTATGGCTAAGTGGAGTTATTCATAGTTGTGAAGGAGAGTTGAGTATTTTAAAAATCCATTAGTGTAATTCATTACAATAACATATTAAAGGTGAAAAGTGTGATAAATCATGAGATGCAGAAAAAAATGTTTATTAATATTAAACATTCCTTAATGATTAAAAAAACAACTCTTGGCAAAGTTTTAATAAAAGGGAACTTTCTGAAACTTAAGAGTGCCTATAAAAAGCTAAAACAAACATCAAACTTAATGATGAAACTATGAAATTTTTCCCTTTAAGACCAAGAACAAGATGAAGGAGCCACAATTTCTACCAGGCTTCTCTGTTTTTCTCCCTGGCCTGTCCATGAGGCTGGTGTGGGCTTCTTCACAGCTTGGTGGTCAGGAGGTGGTTGGACTTCTAACATGGTGGCCAGCTTCCAGCAGTCTGTGTGTCCCACTATAGACAAGGTCCAGAATAGGCATACTGACATTTTGGCTGCATTTGGCTGGTTGAAGTAAGTCACAGTTTAGCCCAGGTTCAAGAGGGGGTAAACAGACTCTACCTCTAGTTGTGAGATAGAGCAGCATGTGTGGACAAGTAGAAGAAATTGGTGACAATCATCTTTGGAGATCATTTACCACAACTCCTATCAGGCTGACAAAAATGTAAATGTATTTGTGACATAAGATATTGGCAAAGATGTGGCATGATTGGTACACTTACACACTGCTTGTGACCCTGAAAATGAATATAGCAGCTTTGGTAAACATTTTAGTATTCTCTAGTGAAGTTAAAGATGTGCATACTATGTAGTCCAGCAATTTAACTCCTAGATTATTTTTGCTACGTGTACCAGGTAATATATATAAGAATGTTCAGAATAGCACTTTTTGTTCTAACAAAAAGACCAGGAAACAAACCAAAATGTCTATTGATAGCAGAGTGGACAAATGAATTGTGGTGAAGTCTTACAGTGGAATTATGTGCTTCAGTGAAAATGAACAAATGCATGTACAATAACATGATTTAATCTTTAAGACATAAGATTGAGTAGAGAAAAAAAAGTACGAAAAAGAAATACACAGAAAAAATAAGGTTGAAATGCAAAAAATATACAGTAAAAAGATAAGCGAGAAAATGACGAACACAAAATTTAGGGTAGTAATTATTTCTGAAGGGGGAGAGAAGGAAATAGAAATGGGTTGGGACACAGGTAATTCTAATGATCTTTGCTGAATTGAATGATGGATGTTTCTTGTATTATTTTTCCTTATACTTTACATAATTTTATGTTATTTTGTATCTTCTCAGTATTTAATATAAACAAAAAATCTCTAAAATCTCTAATGCTTCTTTTTTGGAGTGGGGTGAGAATTCTTTTTGTCAATGATCCCCTTGAATGATCATTTCTACTGTAGAGTAGCAAAGAAGGACCAGGGTATGTCTTGGGTTAATTACCTTTATTAGCAATCTGTTGACCCTTCTGAGGATCATGGTGAATAGTCTATGGGATTTCATGGGTAAGCCTGACCAGGAAGCCTTCATTCCACTGTGAAGCTTTGTTCTGAGTGAGGTTGATGGTAGAAGGCAGTCTGTTGGCCTTACCTTTCTGTTTTCTGTACTCTGAGCTGCCTTTACAGCGCCTATCCAGACCAGTAAGAACTTCCAAAGCCATCTCTCTTTTCTGTCTCTTTTTTTTTAATGTGTATTTATTTTTGAGAAAGTGCACAACAGGGAGGGGCAGACAGAAAAGGACAGAAGATGCCAAGAGGGTTCTGTGCTGATAGCAGTGAGCCTGATGTGGGGCTCAAACTCATGAACCATGAGATCATGACCTGAGCTAAAGTTGGATACTAAACTAACTGAGCCACCCAGGTCCCCCCCGCACCCCAAGGCCATCTTTTTAAGCAAACTCATGGCTTCCCTTGTTGGAATGCCAATCATTTTCTTTCTTTCTTTCTTTTTTTTTTTTGAATGCCAATCATTTTCAATGATCTTTTAAAAATTAAGAGAAATCAGTAGTTCTCAAATGTGAAGAGTAGGAATTGTGGCTTCTAATTTCTTGTAATTTTGTTGCTTTTTCACAGATTGATCAACTGAAGCAGGAGCTTTCAAAGAAGGAGTCAGAACTTCTTGCCTTACAAACAAAGCTTGAAACCCTTAGCAATCAGAATTCAGATTGCAAGCAACACATTGAAGTGCTTAAAGAGTCGCTTACTGCCAAAGAACAGAGGGCTGCCATCCTTCAGACCGAGGTAAGGCACTGTTTCATGATTCCAGGCAACAGACATTGAGTTGATAGAAAACGTTCTACTTGGACAGCTTTCTTTAGAAGATCCGAACCCTTGAGGCCAGATTTGTTCTGGATATCAGTATTCCGGGGACTTTAGAAAGGTAAGACCCATTGCATGTATCATAGATTGCATAAAACTCCCATAGATTGCAAGCAACACCTTGTAAACAAACACATGACTATTTCTGCAGAGAAAAAATTCCTCATACTAACGTAGGATAAATTAAGACTGTATAAGTAGAATACTATTAATTCATGTCTGGTTGTGCCACTAAAAGAGTTTGCTTCACTCTGGATTTTTTTTTTTTCCATTTTTTTTCTGAGTTTTTTGGATTTGGGAACCACAAATCATTGGATCTAGAATGGTTTTATCAAAAATCATCAAAAAGTCAGAATGTCATCTACCTTACTCGATGACTATCTGTACAGGTTCCCCATCCTGGTACCCATGATTCCAGGGGTTTCTTACTTCCTAAAGGGTATCCTTAATTTTCAGGATTCTTTTACTCATTGAAGAGAGTTGATATTGTGTGAGTTTCTTGAAAGAAATGTTGGTTTAAGCTTTGTGCAGTGGCAGTGTCAAAACCAATGAGGTTTTTCCGAGGTGTGTTTTATTGCTAATTGGAAAGAAATGTGTGTTTGTTATTTTTTATTCAGACTTAGAAGAAAGCCCAATACAAGTTACTATCCTATCTCCTTACCTCTCCTCATTGGATTATATCTTTGGGTCTGCTAAGAAAGGCAAAACACAAGCTAGTTATTATGTAAATAAAACAGTTGCCAGAAAATAAATTACTGCATGTGGGAAATAGCAAAGAATGTGATGAATCTCCATGATTTTTTCTGTTGAGGCAGTAAGTTAAGTGGATTACTGTAGGAGAAGGCAATCTAATTGAGTTGCATGTTCTCTCTTGTACTCTTTAAGCTGTGTTTTAGTATGCATATGCTTTTGGGTCTGTGGGGACGTTTAGATTTTCCTTAGAATTAATGTGGTCACAGAGTAGGCCTGTGCCCTTAGCACAGCAGCAGAGTGTCCAGAGGTGAAAAGAAACAACTTCTGGATTGGATTAGCCTTGGATTGGACCTGACTCAGCCCCTATGTGCTTGACATTGGCTAATAGGCAGTTATTTTATCACTGCAAACCAAAATGATCACTTTGGCCTCAGTGATATAGATATTTCACATTTAGGAAAATAATTTTCAGTTTTATATAGTAATATTGTGAATTTGAAAGCATGGATACTTTATTTTGCAAGGTGAACATTTGAATTATGCCATAAAATGGAAGACAGCATGTATCTCCTGTGAGGAGGCTGCAGTGAATAGTATCTAGAACTGTGCTAATACTGTAGCCACTCGCCACATGTAGCCATTCAAACTTAATTAAGATTCAGTAAGATTTAAAATGTAGTTTCTTAGCCACACTAGCCATATTTCAAGTAATTATTAGTCACATGTGACTAGTGACTAGTGTATGAGAAAGCACAGCTATAGAACATTTCTGCTATCTAGCACTTGACTAAATAGGGGTTAAAAACTATGGCTTGTGGGACAAATCTTGCCTTCTGCCTGTCTTTGTAAATAAAGTTTTATTAGAACATAGCTGCACCATGTAATCTACATGTCGTCTTTGGCTGCTTTTGTGCATCAACAGCAGAATTTAATAGTGACAGAGACCATCTTGCCCTTAATTTACTCTCTGGCCCTTTATAGGATAAGTTTCCCAGGCCATGGCATTGTGATTTTTTAGGAAGAGGGTTGAGTGGAAATTGGAATGCCTGGCTGGTCATCTCTCTAGCAGTCGAACTCTAAACAGAGCCAGATTGTTTGCTGACCCCTGTTGTAGAACAGGGGTCCAGTTTGTTTTCACAGTGGTTATTCACAACACACAGTTGTGTTGGGTTGGGGAAATACCAGCATTACTAACAAAGCTAGTGTAATTCTGTTGCTGTACATTAGGTAGAAGGAAATTTGAGAAGCAAGGCAATCTGCTGTGGTATTGCTCAAACAGGGAGTCAGGCTTTTTGATGGTTCCTTTCCAGCAGGAAAGAAAGAAAAGTCATCTCAGAAAGGCTAACTACCTCCCTCTCACTACCTTGCACAGATGAATGCTGTATCCTCTGGCCTCTCCTTTTTCTTATACCCTCCTTGACATATAATCCTCTCAAATTAATGTAGTCCAAACTAGACCTATACATTTTTCATGAAAAAGACAGTGGTGACATTATGTGGATAGCTTCTGTCCCATGTTCAATAATTAAAATGACCCAGTAAAGAGATGGTGCTTTGAAGTAGAAAAAATTATTCTCAATGTGCAAAGAAAGTGAGATGATTTTCTGGTTCCTTGCTTTGAAGTTGGGTGTGTGAGATTAATGATTTTATCAGCTGGAACATCCAAGGAAATTTCTTTAGACTTTTTTCTTTTTAAAATCTTTGTAAATGGAAATGGAGAAAGTTACCTAATGATGTCCATCTCTTAGGGGAAGCAATTTAGGTTGAAATTAGCTCTAATTGTTGGATCATAAGCAAAGGATTTTTGCCAGCAGGATAAAGTACATTAAAGTGATTTTCCTGCCTTTTGGAGAAACAGACAGAAATATGAGTCTCCCAACTAACTTGTGGTGGGTTAGTGGGCGAGTATTCAGTTAATGAGATATGTTCTGTTTCATTATGCCCTACAGTGAAAGGCCTGAGTTTACACTCATATGAAAGACATTGTGCTCATTCTTGGAGGAGGTTATATGTGATAGTTCTTTCCAATTAGATTCTGGGGTCATTCCTACAAGCTCTTGCCAAAACAGAAGAGGACTGTCTCTAGAATGTGAGAACCCTGCTGGTTTATCTGGAAAACATATGCCATCAACTGGCTTTTGGCTACTCTTAAAATGGATATAAAGGACAGATGCCATTGGCTTAAAGGTTTATCTCTGCAAGAAGGGCTTTTGCTACCAGGGGATTTGCATTTAGGAGGTAGTAGGATGAAAGGTGGGATGAGGGGTGGGAGGCAAGTTGTCTGAGTTTGCGGCTATGTGGCTTGGCTCCTGGGTTGGTTTGTTTTAACTTGTACAAATGCCCAGACACTCTTTGACATGTGTGCAGTAAATCAATGGAATAATAATTACACACACACAGATATATACCACGTAGCTCGTAAAGTAACATTTTACTTTTTAAAAATAGCTTCAAAGTTTCTTATTTTGCTACTTCTCTTGATGTTTTCTATGTACCAACTTAGCCCCATCTGCCAGCACATTAATTCCATGGCAGTAGAGATAATAATGAATTGGCTTTTTTTTAGCACCTTATTTTTTGGTATTTCAATGAATACTTACCAACATATTTAGAATTTAGGAAGAAGAAAGGCCTAGCTATTATTCTATGATCTGAAGTAAAGTGTGTGAAGAACATAGCATTTAGAAGCAGGGGATGTGTGGGTGACATGCCTTTGCCTCCCCATTTAATAACTGCCACATGAATAAGACTTAAACTTGTCTGAGCCTCTATGTCTTGATCTATGAAATGGCAGTCACTGTGCCAGCCTGCTGCATCTATGTGAAAAGTGCTTTGACTCTAGTAAAGGGTTCTAGCTATAAATTGTGTTGATTATCATAATTGCTATTATTATTATTATTATTACTCTTGTATATCAGGGATGTTTGGGGACTACCTTATGTCACATCTTTAATCATGCATTCTGTATCTTCTGTCTCAGTAGGTCTCTTTTTGAATTTGTGGTGTCTGCATTTACCAAGCCACAACTTTTATATTTTAATTGGGTCACTTTTTTTTATGTATTAGAATGATATAGTGAAATGAAGATATTATGAAAGTGCTATCTATTTTGTTCTAGCAGCAAATAAAGAGACTTCCTTCTTTTTCTGGCAGGTACACTTTCCCCTAGCCTAACATGATTTTCAAACTGCCAGGCCTGACAGCTCTTTTGTATGTTTTCTGGAAGATGTGTTATATGACAGTGGCATATAATGCTTGCTTTTGTACTCATTTCTGTTCCAAATGGGTCAGGGGAGAGTTCTACTTGTTTAAAAGTAGTCACTTGAGAACCTATTAACAGATATATAGGGATTTTGTTTTCAGAAAGGCAAGGGAAGGGGCAGCATATCCAGGTGGCAACTTAGTAGCAGCTCCATAGAAAAGTCCATAACATTTTTGTGTTTGTATTTTAAATGTAATCAGTTAGAAGAGAGCTTCATGCAATCTATAGGCTCTCTCATCAGGAGAATTTACCTTGGCACATACACATTTATATTCACATGCAATTATGTATATAATTTTAGGCAGTTTACAGATGCCCTGAAGCATTTCCAAGAATTTTACATTAAAGATCCCTCCCTGTCCTATAGGTTCTGTGCATTTTTTCATTCAACATGTAAGTTTTGAACAACTGGTTATAGTTCCTTCCTTTATCTAGCCAGCACTTTATTGTGTATATCGATATATGATAGAGAACTGATGTATAGTACCATAAAGACTCAGTGATTTCATTACCACTGGTTGATAATAATTCCACACAAAATCTTAATTAGACTTCATTTTCCTTCTACGATTTAAAAGCAGAAAGAAGATCAACAGAAATAAATGTTCAGCATCTATGAAGACTAAAGTATTTAAGCTGTATGAAAGGTCCATTTATATCTCATATAATTGAAGGCTAATGTTGCTAAGGTGATTACTCAGATACGTTAAGGTTTCATGTTTTGATTAAAGCTGGTCCTCTTTGATTCCACGCTCAATCAACTTTGCTTTCCTTGAGAAAAGGAATGGTATTTACGGGGTTGCAAACATTCTGCTGGATTGATTATTTCACAGGTTACTACATCTACTTAGAAGTGCTTCAATCTACTGTACTTTAGACAGATGCTTCCCTCAACTTGCCTAAATGAAGTATCATTTGATAATATTTTATTGAGCATCTGTTATGTGCAAGGTGTTGGACAAGGTGG